TATAAGGATCCTCACAGTTGTGCAGGTTAGACAGATATGTGCGGTGTGTCTGAGATGTCAACACTGGGTTAGGGCTAGTGCCAGCAGGGACTCATGTTAATTCCCGTTCTGGAAGAACTGCTCCACATACATTGTTCCCCTATCCTCATGTCCTTCTTCCCTGCACTCTAGGCCATAGCCCACTGGAATCCTAGACTTAAGGCTCTAGGGCTTCCTGATTTCTTGTGTTTTTCTCCCTGTACTTTGCCCTCCACTGTGCTCTGCACATGGCAGCTCTGCCTGAGACTCTAGACAGTGCTGTGGATAAAGGCTTCATTCTCCACTCTGTTCTTCCACAGACTGCTGTGAGGCCCCCACTCTCCCCAGGATGGCCTCTCGTTTATGCAGGGCCTGGGCTTCAGTTCCTACAGTCCAACTCTCAGGGATGGAATCTAACTTTCTTCCAATAATCCCCCTTTCTTTCCTGTCAATCATTCAGATCTTATCCTTCCACATTCAACGTGGAAATTCCCCGTTTATAGTATTCATTTAGGGCTGGGCATGGCATCCATGCCTATAATCCTAGCACTCTGGAGGTAAAGGCAGGAAGATCAGGCATTAAATGTGATCTTGGTTACATAGCTAATCTCAAAAAACCAGTCTCAAAAAAACAAAACAAAACAAATTATGGTTTGTATGTATTAAAGATTAAATTAAAACTAAAAATTACTTTTGAAAGTCATTCTTCTAAACTTCCTAATTACAGTAGTCAATAATGATGGATAGATGGACAGGTAGACAGGAAAAACAGATTCCAGAGTAGAATAGAGTACTAGTAGCTTAGGGAGTACATAAGGACAGAGACAGGCTAATCATTGGGCACTAATCGCACAAGATAACTACAGATAACAATGTTATACTTTTCAGAAAGCCAGAATGAAATCTGTTCTCATCATAAAGAAGGAAGTAGCTGAAGTACACACAGTTCACTTTATTAAAACATTACACAACATAGACATCTTTTAAAGATCCCATGGTATGTATAGCTATTGTGTTTTATGAATTAGATTAAAAATAAAATTAAAAGTTAAATGAGGAACATAATGATAAAAGCAGCTGAGCCACAAGCCTCCAGCTTACAAGGCACACACTTTACAGGAGTCTGTGTTTCCTTAGCTCACAGAGCACTGGCCTGGTTCTCACTTATTTTGTTATAGGGCCTTTCCGGTTTGTATCTTTTACAAATTCTGCATTTTGTTATTTACGGTCAAACTGCTGAGTAGAGTCAGAGCAAAACTCCTTCTGTCCCTTGTGTTTACTGTGGTAGCCATTTAGTGTGAGGAGGGTCTGGCTTTGGTGTTGGTGGAGCTCTTTGTCTCTTAGTTATTGGACATGCTCTGGGTCGCACATCTGCTGGGTTGACTTGAGAGCCTATATGTATCCAAGAACGCTGATCACACAAGATGCCAATTTGTATAGCAGAAGTAGAGAAAGCCTGTTACTACTCCAGAAGTACCAAATTTACTGCTTCTTTCCTCTTGGTAAAAGGTTCTTGTGACACAAGAGGGACCATAGAGTATAGAAAGGATAGTGGCAAAGACCACCAGGGACAGCCTCGCCTATATCAGTTAGGGGAGACAGAGGTAGCTTTGGGCTTGTCTTAGAGCCGTCACTTTCACTTTTGGGACACAGACAGTGTGATGCCTCAGTGTTTCCAAGTTTTCAGTGATGGAGCCTGGGCCCCCAGGACTGCTAAGAAGACAGGAACAGATCCTAGGAAGGCAAGGCCAAATTCATGATTAGTGTACTGTCTCACTGTGTCATTTTTTCTACTTCATTTCTCTTGTTAACTTTTTACATTTCTACTCATCCTCCTTGATGTTTAAAGTTCTATGACCTGTGCATGGCATTTCTTAATAACTGATTTACTAATTAAAAACCACAGGCACAGACTTTAGAAGAAATATGATTGTCTAACAAGCTTAGAAATTTCAAAGCTTTTCTCTCTTATCTCAAACAGACTTCTGACGAAAACATCAGAGACTGTTTAGGGAGATAATCTTGGGTGTGTTAATTTGCATTTCTTTACATACGTACCTCCCAGGTATCTTGGAGCAGCAATTACTCTGGAATACTAAGCATAGTGTGACATTAAGACATGGGCTGTTTCCAATTTGTATATGTATGTGCATGTATGCTCATCTGTGCACAGACGCAAATGTGTATAGGTACATGTGCACATATGTGTGCGTGTGCTCACAGGTGGAGGCCAGAGGAAACCCTTGGCTATTGTTCCAAGGGTCCTGTTGGCCTTATTGGTTGAGATGGGGTTTCTCATTGGCCTGGAACTCATGAAGTAGGCTGCACTGGCTGGTCACGGCTTCTCCTGCCCTCCCCTCCTCAGTGCTTGGATTATAAATGTGTACTACAATACCTGGCCTTTTTTTTTTTTTAATGTGAGTCCAGATGATCAAACTTAGGTTTGTGTGCACACTGAGTTCTCACCCTTGCTCAATTTCATGTTTTAAAGAAAAAAGGAAGCAATTTCTAGAATTATACAAACAATAATTATACATAGAATAATACTTTTGGGCCCAGTGAGGACTGCTAGAAGAAAGGAGGAACACTTCTAATTATTTCCAAGTGTCAGATACTAATATTACGTGCTTAGAGAGACGTATTCCTGCCTCACTTGGCTTTTATAACATGAGGGTCAGGGGTCATTTTGAATCTAAAGCCAGTTTGGCATCAACATTTTAATCAGAATTATAACCCAAGCTGATGACCTCATTAACTCCTGGGCTGGCTTTCTGTACTGTAGTATCACTAATCATTGGCTTTTATTAGTTTCACAGGAATCAACTATGCCTCTGTACTCCTACAAGGAGTTAATTCTGTGCAATGTTCTGTTGTTCACGCTCAGCGTTGCTGCCTAGAGCTTCTGCTACCCTACTTCCTCTTTGGGGTCAGTATTTCTATCAAATCCAGGATGTTCTGGTTTTAGGTCACAAGGCAGACAATTTCAGGTAAGGAAAAGGCACTGCTGCAGAAAGAGAGAGACGAGAGAAAAAGGAGACCATAAACATAAGACCTGCAGCTCTTCTGCCTTCTCCATCAGGGGATGAGATACACAGTGCTGTCAAACTACCCTCAAACTCCATCTCTAGGAGAATAGCACCAGCACAGAGCCTGGGGAATCTGGGATGCCCCTAAGGTGATACTGAAGAAATCAACCCAGTGGGACTTCTGAATTTTATAACCAGAATGCAATGACAACGTGGATGGCTTTCAGTTTTCATATTAAAATGCTTTCAAATATGGGAAGGTCCTCTCTGCTAAACTGTCACATGGTAGTTGGCACTGGCACAGATGAAGAGGCTGCCATGATTGTCATGTAATGGAGAGTGAGGCTGTTGATGCATGAGGACGGAAGGTAAGGGCCATACTGAACGGGTGGTTGGTATGATACCCCACCATACACTCTCAGCCCTTGAGGCGTGTTTCATTTTATTACGCCTCAGCCCTTGAGCACTTTTTGGATATCTGACTCAATCAAACAGAGATATTTACAGAATAAATAACTGTAGCAACGGGCTCAGCTACTCGGTTAATTATGGTGGCTGTCTCTATGGAGAAGTGCTTGTACACCCAAGGATGGGCCAGAGTCATTCCCATTCCCAAGGAACACTGTAACTACTTCAAAGATCAATCAATGCACTGAGGCTATTCAGACTCTGTTATCTGGTGATATTTCCTCAAATATGAGTGAAGTAAACTTGTCATTTTGAGGAAAACAACTGTTTTGTAGTGGAAGATAAAATTTATATCTTAAACTGAAAATCCAAACTCTTGAAAAGTTGCATCTGCCTCTGTATACTTGACAGTGTCCCAGCACCTTCAAAGCAGTCCTAATAGGAGCGGTGTTGAGAGTAACAAGCATGAATTTGGGGTATTGTGTTTTGAACTGCGTCAACCTTTGGGATATATGCATAACTGAAAAAAAGGTATCAGAGCATGAGGTTATGCAGTGAAATCAACTTAGTGTCAGACACACAAAAGACTGAAAAGAGCAGAGTATGAGAACATTCCCAGACATGTCCTAGTTCACAGCGGAGCACCTTCGGTAGAACTGGCTGAGACTTGTACTGCAGTACCAGGGAAGAAAGCTCACAGCTCCACAAGAAGCTGACTAAAACACCTCAGCTGGGTGTGGGGCTGTGTACTGGAATCTTAGGACTTGGGAAGCTGAAGCTGGGGGATTTTGAATTCTAGATTAGACTAGGCCAAACAGCATGTTCAAGACCAGCCTGGACCTCATAGGGAGACCCCATTTCAAACAGAACAAAAGTTAGAAAAGGCATTCCTTCCCGAGTCCAAATACATATTGAGGTCTCTGAGGTTAGACATTCTTTATCTATGTTGAGTCTTATGAGGGTTAATAGAGAAGCCAGATAAGGGAGCTAAAAACAGTTACCGGTCTTATTACAGATTTAAAAGTCATGTTTACAAAGATAATATGTATACAAATATACACACATACATACGCATACCATCTCCCTTGATCTGTGGTTTCTCTTCCCACAGTACAGTAACCAATTATGAAAATAATTGTCTTGATGTTTTTGAGAGAAAGAAACCAAATTCACTTTTTAGTTTCACTATAATGTTGGATTGTCTATCTTATTTCTACCTATTGTTAATTTCTTACTGTGCCTATTTTATAAACTGATCCTATCATAGGTTCGAATGTAAGAGAAAACAGATCACATATGCTGGGTATTTGTACAATGGCCTCTATAATACGAGGGCTTTAGCTCTGGAACCAGCCTGGCAAATCTGGGTAGTCCTAGGCCCACAATGTCTGAGGAATTGCAACTGCAGCTGCCTGCCAGAGTTCAGAGGAGGTGTGCAATGCTCAGTCTGCTGCATTTCCTTCAACCCAGTTTCCTGGAGCTTAGGAAGTATGTGAGTCCAGAGCATGTTGGGAAGAGAAATGGGTGCTGCAAACTCCTGTGACTCACCTTCAAGCCGGACTACCAGTGGCACCTTGAGCTCTAGCTCCCGGCAGGCTTTGGTGATTCCATTGGCAATGATGGCACAGTTGACGATCCCACCAAAGATATTGACGAGAATGGCTTCCACCTGAAATCCCAAACAGGAAGTGCTGTCATAATGTGGCAGCCAACAGCCTCAAACCAGCTAGTCAAATAACAGGGATTGTTAAGTAAGGCTTCTTGATTTCTGTCATTTTTTACAAAGAGTAAGAAATACTAAAAACAGACAAGACTGGCACAAAAAGTAAGCTTCTGTAATGAATAAATAACAATATATCATTATTAACCCATTTTACCATCTAGTCTTCTGAACTGAGACAGAACCCAAAATGAATCCAACTTCTGTCCATTTCTCTACTGTATCGTGCCCTCTGGGTTTCTTAAATACTGATACCTGGATCTGGTTTAAGTGGTTATTTTTTTCAAATGAAATGTGTCATTATTTTTTCTTTATGATGTGTATTTAAATTTTGTTCTTGTGGCTAGCACAATAGTTTTAAATCTCAGAACTTAGTATGTGCTGTTTGCATTAAAAAGTAAAGACTACAACCTTGCCATACTTCTTAATACCATTTAACATGCTTAAGGCACATGCTCAAAATCCAGACATAATTTAACTATCTTAGACGACAACTGGTTTGATTTAAAAAAAAAGATAAAGAGATAACATTATAGAAAGAGTCAAGTTACTAACAAGAATTTTTCAGAAATGTAAATTTAAACCCATCATGTTCACTTGTTTGTACAGATTCCACATTTACAGGCATGTGGGGTAAAAAGAATATTGTACTTGTCTTAACTTGATAAATAGGTATAAGAAAATCCTGTATAATTAACACAAAGAACAAGATAATGGAAAGAATTCATTACTTAGATTAATAGATAACACCCACAGAAAAGAGTTATTCATCAAGCTCAAGGCATCAAAATTCTAACAATACAGTGGCAATTAAAGCATACTACACTAATTGCTAAGCATGTATCTATATGCTGCATGCCACTTTAGATCCTATGGGTCCCATATGATAAATTAACTGCAGATAACAAAGGAGAAAAGAATAGATTATATTTCTATAGCACTTAACTCTAGATGTGTCATTACATGATTTCTTGTTTTTTCCTATTCTGATCCTCCCAGAACATGCTTATAATACAGTGAGGTTGGCCATTTGCAGTGGAGAGAGCTATAGGGCAGTGACAGTCACATGGCCAACAGACTGCTTAAAAATCTACTGGCTGTTCATCTATGCTGGTTGCTGAGGCTGCAACCTGGTTAAGCTATGTAACTTCTCTTGAATATGGTTTCCTCATCTGTAAGACAAGAGTAATAAATAGTCCCTGGTCCATAAGACCCCTTCAGGGTGTCAGTGAGATGGTGCATGTGCACTATTTGGCAAGCTGTTCTCAGCTTACGTGCTCGTGACTTTTTTTCCAGCAGGTAGCGACACGATTGGACAGACTATGAAGGCTGTGAGAGGAAACCTTTCCCAATATGTAACAGGAGCACAGTGACTAAACTTTAATAGAAAGGTAACAGCTTAGTAATAAAATAGATAAGCAATATTTTCAAGTCAATTAGGGACTGGGGGCTACTCCCAAGAAAGAAACCTCCCATTTCCATTCACAGCAGGCTCACTGGTAAGCAGAAGCCTGCTTTCTAATGGCAACCATTAAATGCTGTTAGCATTGATGCTTAATAGAACACTAATTTCCAAACAACTGTGGGATGGAGGGGAACTTGTCAGGACAATAGAAGAACAAGTGCTCAAAAGCAATAATTCCTTCATGGGCCTTGAGACAGAACTGAAGAGGCACACACTAGCATTTATGAGGAAAAATTGGGCATTCCAGTAAACACAGACTGGTACCTGTGACCTGTACAAAGTAAGGACAAGTTCATGTGTCACTGAGTTACAGGGAGTCAGTGTGCAGTTTCAGTTTAATCTGAAACCATGTGATTGTTCTATAAGCTCACATGAACTAAGGTGAATTTATCTAAACAGGCAGGAGTGGAGGGGGTGAGAAAGAAGTGATGTCTGTGACCCCGGTGACAATTATACTTAGTAGGTGAATGCCCTGGAGTGATCATCAGATACAAGCTGTGAATGTCTCAGTGGGTGTCAGGTCCCATGAGCCTCACATAAGTGTCTCACTGTGCTCAGCAGGAGCCCAACCTTAACATAGGTTCTCCTTATAGAACAACCTTTATCTAAAAGGAAAGCAACACATTTAGCCAGTGTGCAACGCAAGGATCTTAAGGAGGAGGACGTAAGCTGCATGGAGGCAAATATGGTACCCACGGAGGCACGTCATGCCTGACATGGAAGGTAACCTGAGGCAATGCAGGACAACGTGGCCAGAACCAGGTCTAGGGCCAGGAGAGTGGCTTCCCTGGCTTATTCCTTCCAATTCCAGAGCTGAGTGACATCAAGGTTGACAGCAGCTTCCATGGGAAGCTTTTCTATAGGAAAAGCAACAGAAGACATACACAGGCTCTGGGGTTAGGAGACTGGATCTGCTCAAGATGCACAGTGTTCTATATGGCCTGGCAGGAAAGGTGCCTCTGGGTGCTAGGGAGATCCTCTTCCAGCAGGTGTTACAACTCTCAGCTTCTTTCCCACTATAGAGTAATTTGCTGCAGTCATGCACTTTAATGGAAATCTGATTTAAGGTTTTACTCTGGGCCAATTTCTATAATTAAGTACTGTAATCTGCAAGCTCAAACTGAGAATGAAATTAAGACAGTTTAAAAATGAAAGCCTTGTGACATCATTATTATTATTTAGCATTTATAAAGCATGTCACATTTTCAATGGGTGCTTCACAGATTCACTCATTTTACAACCACAAGCTGCTGTTACGCGATAGTAGCAAAAGCAGCTCTTTAACTTTACTGTCTGCTTTTTGGCACCAAGAATTAAAACAACAAGAACTACAACCCTTTTCCCCTTGTAGGTCTCTGTAAATGTTCAGAGCTGCTCCTAGCAGATTCTGAAGTGCTTAAAGTAACAGGCATTTCCAAGATTTGGGTGAGAATCCTCAGAGTTGCTATTTACTGTTGCACAAAAGTAAAGATCATCCGAGAAGGTGGAGAAGGTGCCAGGGAGCCCAGGTCCCGAGGTCCCAGACAGCTGCCCCTGCAGTGGAGTCTGGAACAACTGCTGGCAGCTGTGCAGGTGGCTGGGTCATCCAAACATCAGTTCCCAAATGTCTCTGTGTGTTTGAGCTTCCGAAACACACACTGGCCACAGATTATATATAGTCCATAATCGAAAAGATGAACTTTGAAAATAAAAAAGCTGCAGCCATTGCTATTTGTTAAGCTCTCAAATAAACAAAGAAAACAATAAACACAAAACCCAACAATGAACCGCTTTGCTGCAGTGGAGGATTCTTACCCACTGACCTCATATATGCATGTCTGGAATGTTCTGGAAGTCCTTCCTACTGGATGTCCTACAGCTACTGCTATGAAGACCATGTCTTTAAACGCAAAGCAGTAATAACAGAATGCATGTGCAGATACAGCGGTGGAGAGCTGGAAGGGAGTTGTGAATTCAACTATCTACAAAATTTTGTTTTAGGATACACCTTTCTTGGAAGTCATTCACAAAGGATGAACATACTAGTTTTCACAAACAAAACTATTCTATTTACTAAAAGATGGAAGGCTTATTATGTCACATGATTGACACATGAGTATCACACAAGGCAGGTATAATTTTCATCTTCAATTTATAGACAAGAAAACAGAGAGCAGTGAAAGCCATTGAGGCTATAGCTTAATGACTAGCAAGCATTCTTTGGAGCTATCAAAATTATAAGGCCCTATGAGACATGTAAGGCATAACATCTTCTTACTGATAACCCTAATTCAACCATCAATATAAGAGGTACATAATACCCTGCTTTACAAATGAAAAAAACAAACCCGGCACTCAAGGAGATAAGCACCCTGTGCCAGACTATTTGAACAGAACATTGGGCTGAAAACCACACTCCCTTACGTTAGTAGTGTAAGGAGTCCCTTTTATTAAATGCCAATGTTGCTGTTGCTCAAAAGTGTGCAAGGTATGTATTTAACAAACATTCTTGAGGGTCCGCTCTGAGCTAGGTACTCCTTTAACCATCTAGACGGCAGGAAAATAATTTAATCCGGCAAACATGGTCTTGATCTGTATCTGAAGTTGTAAACTCTGCTAGGTTATGGAGAGGAGGAAACACAAATATCATGAGAACCCAAGGGTAAGATGTTAGAGTAGACAGGCCTCTTGGGGCAGAGACATTTAAGCTCGGGCTACAGAGAGTCAAGGAGAAACAGGTGGTCAAGAGCAGGGAAGAGAGCCAAAAGTGGGCCCATCTGGGAAGGCTGAGGTACTGAAAGAACTGTCCCCTGGGAAGTGAACAGAGTCTGGACCAGGTGCTGGGGTGTGGGAAATGAGATCCATGGGGATCTCATGGGGATGCTGCCATCCCCAGCATCGAACCATAAAGGCTCTCGGGGTTCACTGTGAGACTAGCACTGAGAAGCCTGTGGATTTCAGGCACCTACTTAGACCTCACTGAGACCAGGCAGGAAACTCACACTTACCCAGCATCCACCACATATTTATATTAAGCTCGTAAGACAAGATTTATTATTTCTATTTATGGTCAAACTGAGGCTCAGGGAGAAATAAGGGAGGCCATGCCATTCACTGTAGTCACAACTCACACCAGTGTCTGTTTTCATACATGTGCCACAAGCAAGAGCCAGCAATCTTAGGGCAGGCAGCTAGCAATGTGCATCAGGAATTAGTCTGTTCTATTAAGGATGAAGCAGTAAGCCTTCTGGGCTCAGTGAGCCCAGTTCTTTTACAACTGCACAACTTGGTCATTGGGACAAGAGTCGGGGGGTACTACACAAATGAGTGTGGCTGTGTTCCAATAAAGTTTAATAGAAACAAGCAGGGGCCAGTTCAGGCTGTAAGCTAACTCCTGAGATAAGCGTGATTTATTTCAGCTCCCCTAAAATCCACTGAAGGGTGCCCTCAGCCCTCTTCCTTGAACCCTCTGATGTCTATGACAATACCCTTCAGATTATAAGGCAT